AATGGAAAAGGTCTAATAAAACAGTCAATAATGGAAACGGTCTACTAAAACAATCAATAATGAAAAAGGTCTAATAAAACAGTCAATAATGGAAAAGGTCTAATAAAACAGTCAATAATAGAAACGGTCTAATAAAACAATCAATAATGAAAAAGATCTAATAAAACAGTCAATAATGGAAAAGGTCTAATAAAACAATCAATAACAGAAAAGGTCTAATAAAACAGTCAATAACAGAAAAGGTCTAATAAAACAGTCAATAACAGAAAAGGTCTTATAAAACAGTCAATAACAGAAAAGGTCAAATAAAACAGTCAATAATAGAAAAGGTCTAATAAAACAATCAATAATAATAGAAACGGTCTAATAAAACAGTCAATAATGGAAAAGGTATAATAAAACATTCAATAATAGAAAAGGTCTAATAAAACAATCAATAACAGAAACGGTCTAATAAAACATTCAATAATAGAAAAGGTCTAATAAAACAGTCAATAACAGAAAAGGTCTTATAAAACAGTCAATAACAGAAAAGGTCTAATAAAACAGTCAATAATAGAAAAGGTCTAATAAAACAATCAATAATAATAGAAACGGTCTAATAAAACAGTCAATAATGGAAAAGGTATAATAAAACATTCAATAATAGAAAAGGTCTAAAAAAACAGTCAATAATGGAAAAGGTCTAATAAAAGTCAATAATGGAAACGGTCTAATAAAACATTCAATAATAGAAAAGGTCTAATAAAACATTCAATAATAGAAAAGGTCTAATAAAACAATCAATAATGGAAAAGGTCTAATAAAATAGTCAAAAATAGAACCGTCTAATAAAACAATCAATAATGGAAAAGGTCTAATAAAACAGTCAATAACAGAAAATGTCTAATAAAACAATCAAGAATAAAAAGGTCTAATAAAACAGTCAATAACAGAAAAGGTGTAATAAAACAGTCAATAATAGAAATGGTCTACTAAAACAGTCAATAATGGAGAATGTCTAATAAAACAGTCAATAACTGAAATGGTCTAATAAAACTGTCAATAATAGAAAAGGTCTAATAAAACAGTCAATAAATAATCATTAAATAGCAGCACCCGTTCGTTGTAGTAATTTGCATCACGTATTTCCATTAATAATTTAATTACAATGATAATGTCCATTTGGGTCCCTTATTATTTTGTTTATTCTCTTTAGTAAGTAGATTAATATACATGTATTTCATAATTTTCTTATTGTTTTTCCTTTTCTTACATTCGTGTTTTGTATGTGTGTTCGTTCGCTTGTTCTTTCCTTCATTCATTGTATTCATAATTCTAATCTTTAAAGTATCGACTTAAATGCACTGTTATTGTGCATTCCTTCTAATTATAATACTGACTGGTACAATCGAAACTAAATGAATTATTCTCAACGGAAATCTCGACAATATATATTTAGATGAAATATCGTAAGAAAAATCTTTAGGCACATAGTTATGATTCAACTGAATCAGAAATTGTGAACATATTCAAGTAGACTTTGAATTTTGATATATCGAGAATCCTTTTCAGGCGTTAACTCTTTCAAACATTAAAAAAGATGTATGTGTCAAAATGGGTATGAAAAGGAAAATCAGCCATCATAGTATATGTATTATAAAGAATATTATTGATTTTGGAATGTTGATAAATACCTATGGAGAGGATGATCTCTTTATATTCCACTGTAATTTTCTAAATGTATATGTTCTAGCAATACATTTGGATATAACGGTAATATTATATATGAGAGTTATTTGTAATTTGTGTTCGGGACTAATTTGTCATTAGTTCATGAGGAACAATTTGCATTGTTTAATTTACCATGACATCAGAGAAAACGAATACTAAAATAACATTGGTGTGCCTTAATGAGACCTATATAGCTTAATTTCGTCTCAATAAGCCAGTTTATATAATATTTATCAGCTACAAAATACCCGTACTTAATTTCAGACAATTATGCTATAAGAAGTGCATTTCGCTCCAAAAATAGTGATCTATTTTGAATGTATTGTCGGTAGCTTAGATTATTGAGAGTATGAGGGTGGCTTTAGTTCAGGCTGTACGTTAATTTCGTCACATGAACATCGTCTTCAGTTAACTCTACATATTAAAGCGTAAACTACATGTTACAATATTTGTCTGTAGGACTTACATGTTTCCTATGACGGCATTATCTTAATGATTTGCAGTCATGGTCAGCAAACATTTAGTAAAAAATAAATGATCACGTGCATATTTTCATTTTCGCGGGAAAAAATGACACTCCCGAGACGGTTCCTGCTATCAGAGCCACTTTCAAATGGGTTTTATGAAGTGTTCTTATTTACATTTACAGACAGTCAAATATATTGCCAGGGCCGACAAGAGGGACTTTGTGGGCACATGGTGATATATCCAAAGGGCCGGCCGAACAACACTTTATAATTTTATAAAAGAAAAAACAATAACTAGAAGAGACCCAGGTGTTTCTTATCCCAGGGCCCGTGATTGCTCTTTACTGTCATGTGTATTACTGTAAAATAAGAATGTTTACTAAATTTTTATATAAAAAACTACTAACTGAATATGATATAGCAATGAATGTAGTTTGCATTTGTTCTTAAATTTTCGCAAATATTTTTATTTTACTAACTTGCACGGCAATACTGATTAATGATATAAAATTCAATTTTTTATTTCACTGACGTCACAAAACATTATTATATTCATGTATTGTTATGCGGCGATATCAAGAATCAAGCGATAAAACGTTAATGTTATTCTCGATACACAACAAATTATCATAGTACCGTCCATGATACACAACAAATTATCATAGTGCAGTCCATGATAAACAACAAGTTATCATAGTTCAGACCATGATACACAACAAAATCATAGTACAGTCCATATTTCTTTCAGTAAAAAGTAAATTATTATTTCTATAAAACGTCACGTGGAAGTTGAACAAAGGAGGAAGATATTCATACGCAAAGTAATGAATCAAGGCATCAGAAAAATAGTACATTTTATGAAACACAAAATTGGACAGAAGTCAACTTGTTCATTCTGAATGAGAAATTTGATTGAATGTATGTTCTTGCTTTGAAACCTCGTCGTCGATGAATATATATATATATATATATATATATATATATATATATATATATATGTGTGTGTGTGTGTGTGTGTGTGTGTGTGTGTGTGTGAATGTGAATGTGTATGTAATATATATATATATATATATATATATATATATATATATATATATATATATATATATATATATATATAAATAATATATATATATATATATTTATATATATTTATATATATATATATATATATATATATATATATATATATATTACATAAAAGAACACGTTTCCCTACCTGTCAATAGCTATTGCAGCCAGTGTGTTTACAGATGCACACTGTACAACGGACTGGGTGTACGGCACTGCTTTACACAGGAAAGCTCCAAACCGCCATCCTGTAATAAATTTCAAATGTATTAAATTGACACAAGTAAAAATGAATATGTTTGAGTCACGCAGTAACATAAGTCATAATGATAATAATTGAAACAAAGATATTCTAGGTACATTATTAGTGTCATAATTTCATTAAATTACACCAACATCTGCAATTTCTAAACAACTCAAAACATAGTGAACAGTTTTTTGCATGTTGCTCTTGAAGATACCGATTCTAGCTGTAACTAAAGGAGCACTTCAATTGCTCAAGATATGTTTCCCGTATGGAACCTTTGCATATGGTGACTTTTTAAATTACCGCATATAATCGCTATCAACCTGAGTCAAACTGCAAAGACAAGATCCTGATCTGAGGTAGGATAATGCGCCTTCAGATCAGGATCTATGATGTTTGCTCAATTGGTCACTAATAACAAACTACATAGAAACAGATCTCGGTAACACGAAGGCAGATCTGAGTCTGCAGACTGCAGTTGGAGTTCTCTTATAAGCGGGTGCAGACGGTAATACCAATTTCATTGTATACGTTACATCCGGTTTTTTTCCCCTGCTTTAGGTGGCGCTCACCAGTTATTATATATTTTTGAGAGAGTGATGTATATAAGGTGAAGTTGTTTGCATTTTAAACATGCATAGTGGAGAGAATGTTGGCATACCTATGTACTACGTTTATGTAATGTGGCTGAAATTTCTTTGGATATTGTATTTTTGGAAATGTAAATGATCTTAGGACACTGCTAACTAAAATGACTGCTCTATTGTGCTCCAAAAATCAACCTGAATTTGTCTAAAGTAAACTATTCTTGGTACCTTTAAAATATGGAAAATGAAGTTTGCCAAACTAGACATTACCACCTTCTAAATGTGCAATGAATGAATTACCAAATATATAAAATGTAAAAAAAGTTATCGGCTCTATTTTTTTACAATTTACCTCTGAAGTTCGAGAAGTGAAAATGAGCAAGTAGAGCTAGCAATTTTTTGAAAGGTGCATATCTGGAGTAAGGCCAAGCTGTATACTCTCTAACCCATATTACACCCATCAATAATACATCAAAATAAAGGGAATTAAAGGTTCTTTGAACAATACCTAAGATATACAAAGTCTATTTTAAATAGCTAGTGAGGAAACCCAGGGAAACTCTTTCTCTTTAAAATTCTAACCCTATGCTAAATACGAAACTGTAGAGCGCCACCTTACTAGTTATTATAGTCGTGTCAATTAACAACGTTATGAAGTATATAAGAGATAAAAAGAGTCGTATCAAACAAGATTCAAGTGTTTGTGTGTGTGTGATTTTGAATTTTTTAACGTAGCTTTAACAATTTTCCAGTTATGTCGCTACATCTGCAGTATGGCAGTTTATAGTGATGTCTAGCATCATATCCCAGCCAGTCACATTATCCTGACACCAGGCCGACATGTCCAAACTCTAACCTCTTAATGCTAAGCACCAAGCGAAGCAGCTGCTGGTACCATTTTTATGTCTTTGGTGTCACTCGGTCGGGTTTGATCCCGCGATCACCCGCATCCCAGGCGGAAGTCCTAACCAACTATAGGCTACATGAGCCATCAGATGATTATATGATAAGCCGACTAAACTCTATCAGGAGGGTTGCCTCCAGATTTACATTGTTGTTGCGAATGATATCAACGCACATTCTGCGTGGAAATCCACAATAAGTTTGCCATTTTGCCTGAGGGAAGGTGATAATAACCGTTATAATCACTTATAAGTCCAGGTCAAATGCAAGCAACATAGACCCTGATCTGCGGTAATATAATGTGGCAGCATATCAGAGTCTATGGTGTTCGCTTTTCTGATTACTCCTAACAAACTGCGCATATCCTAATCAGATTGTCCAATATACTACGACATATCTGGGTCTGTGCAATTTGCAAATGGGCTTGACATAAAGTTGAGGACAGACTGTACTTCAAGGTCTTAAAATACGTTCTATATAATGTACGTTGACAACACAGATACAAGCTAATAGCCATGTTAGTGGCATTTATCTTTTCGTTACAACGAAGTCTTTTATCTGAAGTGGTTTTCGTAGCTCAATAAGATTAACGTAATATGCCCATTACAACAATGCTTTTATCAAACCTTTACCAGAAAAAGAAGCCATAGAAAAAAATCAATCCAGATAAAATCTTTAATGCTCTTGAAAGTTTATTTAAAGACTTAAATTTATCTCTCCTCTGTGTAGATCATACAAAGTTGTTCATGCCAATCTATGGCAAATCTGCTTATGTTCTAGAGATAGATGAACAAACGTATATATGAATGCTTGTTGTTGCAATCCCGAATTTATTAATCAATACATCATTTTTATAACAATCTGATTTAACTGGAGCTCTATAGACTGACGAAGCACATACACTTTTTAATGAAGCCAAAACAAGAAAGTATAAAATATTCCCTCTATTATTTGAGTTATATTTATTCTTATTTAAAACAAAACAAGACATCCCTTGAAATTCACAGAGATAACATTTACAATCAATAAAAATGAAAACAAAAATACTTAATGTAATATGACCACACACATACACACACATTATATGATATAATGTTGCTTTCGTCTGTCTGCGTTAAACGACGAATGTTGAGTATCCTATTGTGATGACGTTTTAGTTTTTATTGCTATTTGGCAACAAAGTCCTATCCTGGAATGACAGTGCATGCCTCAAGTGACATAACTGTGACAAGTAGATCCTGGTTTGCGTAGTGCTTTCTGCGTTGGCGATTGCTTAGTAATTGATCGAGCCACTCTTTTTACGATGTTTAACTCCAAATCGTAGCGTGTTACACCAGTAGTTTTCCCTACTATTTGTCAGTGGGTTCCATTTGTCGATGCAGATCTTGATTTTATATCAGTTTTTCAGACATCATTAGAGCGGAATTTTTAGCTTAGTGCTAGTTAACAGGCATTAGCAATTTCGCCGAGATTTGTTTTGTCTATATCTTCAGTCTGGTACACGTGTCTGATCTAGTGTAACCATCCCTGTTTGAGGAGTGCCTTATTATTTTTTAGTTCGATAAGGATTTCAGGGTTGGTGACTTTGTCCTTCATTGTTGTACAAAGATGCAACACGTTCAGCGGAAACCATTCTGTAAGGCCGAGGAGTAAGATCTCGTGGCAGTTGTTGTAGTCTCTGTGTTGCCTTTGTTTGCATTGTGCTATTATGTTGATACATCGCAAGTGCTGTGGAACGTCTCTTTCCCTCCAACATAGCAGGAGTTCATAGAGGTGTAATAGCATGCTGGAGTTTTCACACTTCATCACTTAGGTTGAAGTTCCGTCCTTGTTGGAGGCCTTTGCGATTGATAAAGAATATATGACCTGTTCAGTTCATTGATACCAATCAGCAAGCCATCTGCTTGATCCTGTTGGTGATGACTGCACTATCCAGTGCCATCAAAGGAGACAACATTGGTGGAAACGAGGTCAATGTCTTTCTTGATCCGGTCTTACGTGGTGTATATGTTTCCTGTGTCTGATGCGTTCTGTATCTCCTGGCATAAACGGTTCAGTGCTTATAATGGCAGTGCCTAGTTGTCTTCTGCACTGTACTTATCACCGACTTCAAAGTCCAGAGTGATTTTGGTGTTGGAATTAGGCTGTGTTCAAGGTAGGCAATATCCTTTTCTTCTATCACTGGTATCATTTTGTCCACGTGGGTCTCGAACCAATCTTTGTTTTAAAACTTCTGGTCATAGCTGACTCATTCATTACTGCGCTCAGAGCGCTCAAGATTTCTTCAGGTTCCCTTTTAGGGCTTCTTCGGATATAACTTACTCAATGGTCTCCGAGAGCTGAAGGAACATGTAACATGGGTTCATGCTCCGCAAGCCTTAATGTCTGGATCTGTGTAGTTTTCGGGCTGTACTCTTAAAACTATACTGACAATTGAGTGGTCTACACTGTAATAGGTAAGGGTGGAAACTTCATAGGCTAAGTTGAATCACCTGAAAATAATCGGGTCGAGTTAATGTCGGCTGACCAGGTCATGGGTGGTGTTTTGTAACATATGCGACTATAAGAGAGCGTACAAGAAAATGGCATGCGGTGTGGGATTATATGCTTAGATATTGTTAACGATGTCTCGATCTTCTGCATCATTGTTGACTGTAAAACACACTCTCTGTTCACGGTGTTCATCAGAACTCTTTCCGTGCCACAAAAGGTAGAGTTGGCTTCACATATTGAGCCTGTACAAGCTACAGTGATATTCGCTGGTGAGCTGTGATGTCGATGTTCAACTTACGCACCACTCAGCCAATTAGTGATGTCTTCCGGACTGCAGTTGTCGCTTGCAGGTTTTCATTCATTCCAGGTTATAGTTATAACATTCTAGCTGGGTACACTCTTGCCGACTGATTGTTGAGAAGTAATCTAAGCCCCATGCAAAGTTGATGATGGCATTAAATCTTGTAAACTTGAACTATGGATCTCGTGAATTGATTTGCAGGTTATTTGAGTAGAATTAAACCCCACGAATCTCTATTATAAAAAACCAATAGAACAAAGAAAAACATGAACTCATGACATTATATATAATATACGTATATATATATATATATATATATATATATATATATATATATATATATATATATATATATATATATATATATATATATATATATATATATATATATATATATATATATATATATATATATATATATATATATACGTATGTGAATGCACATGTGTCCAGAAGAAACATGAGAAAAAGTGAAAGGAACATAAAGTATAATTTTATCAGTTTATGTTATTCCCATCTCAAAGAGAGGAGCAAATCTGACATATCTATGAATAAAGATGAACCAATCGGTGACACACTATTGATCAAAAACAAAGATATGCATAAGCATGGTCCAACAGAAAGGAGTGGTACGTTCTAAAGTCAAGATGTTGCTTGGAGACATGAATCCCGGAAAGCATGCTAAAACTAAATAGTCGGACTTTTATATACTAAACGTTAGTTAGGAAGTGAATACTACTTGCATAATTCTTCCAAAAACCGATTATATTTGCTTTCAGAATAGTTCTCTCAGCATGCTTCTGTAATATACTATTCTCTGGGATAATCCAGACGGTAGACAGGTGTACGTTATCGACAAAATGACCAATCGATAAATCGTGCAAGGTACATTTAAGTACAAGCACAAGTTTCACATTGGCTACTCCGAGAGTTTGCAGAAGATAAGTAAGCCTGCAATTGATCTTTTCGTAAGTATATATGTAATTTGCGAATGAAACTGACAACTTTATATCAATTACGGAAGTACAGAAAACTTTCAATCTGCATTGGGAATCATTAATGCAATATGTTTATACCATGCTACTTCCACTTTTTCCTTTAGAAATTTAACCACCTTTTTAACCAAGAATGATTTTAAAGCTACTAATCTGTAAAAAGACTCAAATGAGCTGACGATTTTGGATTAAGAAAAATCGTTTTCTTCTTTTCAGAAGTTAATGGGACCTAAATGCTTGTCAATGAAAAAGACCGCCTTTTATACGTTTACTTTATGTAGATGTGCCTAGTTCAATAAATATAACAAGAAATATTTCTTTTTGAATTTCCATCACCAAAATGTTGATTGGTCAATGTCCAAGATTGTGAAGAATATATTTTCAAACGTAAATGAACCTAATATGCACCGTTTTCATATTGCGTCACAGAAGTAATGATGGCAAATGCGAGCTGGTCACTTCTGTATATGTAGCACGCCTCCTTGTTATAATCATAGGTTACTGCATTTGTATGGGGAAATATGAACGAGTTTTTCGGATGGCTATACTGCACGAACTTGGGAGTGCAGTATATCCTTCCGACAAAACGAGTTCATATTTTCCCATAAAAATACAGTAACCTTTTTATTATATGCTCATTTATTATTATTCCCAAGGCTTAGATATATAAACAAAAATACACTGAAAGAAACAAAGTAACTAAATGTACGCCATATTCCGAACTAAATATATAAGCGTTGATGGATCATTACACAACATTATTAATGAGCGCATAACTCCGCCCAGATAAATATGAAGTTGGTCGTGCGCTAGACGTAAGTTTCGAAAGAAAATGGCGCTTGCTCTACTTAAAATTGAAATTTGGAGTAATATTGTTGATGAATACGCATTGCAGCAACTTTTCCATTTGATCTGGAATGAATACCTTTTGGTATATTTGTCGATTCAACTATGGTCTGGATTTATCTACAAGAAGTGACTTGCATCGGTTTCCAGCAGCGTCTGCCAATTTAATGTTTTGAATTGTGTTGACATCGGCATGCGTGTTTCTTTTCTGTCATTGAATGATTCAGATCACAATGTGAGAAAATTATGAAGCCTTTCCATTGCAGTTATCGAAAACACGCTGTGGAATTTAATGTTTATTTCATTTTGAGTGCAGTAAGGAGGATGTAGCTACACTTGGAATATACTCGAAATTACAGTACAATTTCAAAATGTGTAATCAATCTTGAGAACCCATGACATGGCTCGTCTAATTCAGATTTACAGACCTACGAAAATATATTTTTTGAGG